CAACTTGTGACAGAATTCTTAAGCCTTTACATCTCTGGTTCTTACAACTCACCAAGCTGGCTACTGGAAACCTCCCTTTTGTTTTCCAGGTGGCTCGATCACCCAAGTTTGTGCTTTCTGAGTGCACCTCCTGTCTACCTGCGCTTGTTCTTGCTACTGCTCCAAATCCTTTGAGATTATTTTATGAACGATGTGGTATAACTGTCGAGTGTTTCCTTCCACGACCCGCGTGGAGTAGGGTTCGGTACCTGAAAGAGGAGCCGCACAACAAATGAGAGAAAAGACACGAGATAATTTTGCAATATCGGGGTCCAGGCGGGCAAGTCCAACTCAAGGAGAGGGACTTCCACCCATGCTCAGGCTGCTCCAATCTTTTATTGATCTGGAGTAGCCCTTAGGCAGGTGACCCCCCATTAACAGGCAGACTAGCCCATCAGCAAGAATTTACATAATAATAAATGGGGGAGTAGTTTCAGCTACCACTGTCTGGACAAACAGAGGTGGCGCCTAGCTCCAGGCTTTGCTAGGGCTTCAAAGGCACCCAGCCTTCGGGGGTTTCGGGGAGTTCTCTGTCTATGCTTATCAGATAGTGAAGGCAATAAACAGTTTCCCACATATAACCCAACAACAGACTTCTTCTTGAGGATGCCCTGTTACTGTTTTTAAATTTTTTAAAATTTTAATTGAATTTATTGGGGTGACATTGGTTAATAAAATTATATAGGTTTTAAGTATATAATTCTATCATACATCTGAATATTGTATTATGTGTTTACCACAGTAAGTCAAGTCTCTTTCCATCACCATTTATCCCCCTTTGACCCTCTTCTACCACCCCCCACCCGCCTTATATCTGATAATTACCATACTGTTATCTGTTCCCATCAGTAAAAAAGCTGTGGTACATTTACACAATGGACCTAAGCTATAAAAATGAAGGAAAGCTTACCTTTTGGGACAGTATGGGTGGACCTGAAGAGTATTATTCTAAGTGGAATAAGCCACTCGGAGAAAGACAAATACCATATGATTTCACTTACATGTGGAGTCTAATGAAAAAAAAAAAAAAGCAAAATTGAAACAAATTTATAGATATAGAGAACAGACTGACAGCTGTCACAGGGTAGGGGAGTTGGGGGCTGGGTGGAAAGGGTGCCCTGCTACCTTGATTTTCCAATATAGTAGTACAGAAGTTTCATCAGAAAGCTTAATAGTCATTGAACATTATTTAGAACTCTTTACAGTACTCCATACATGTGAAGCTATAGACAACACCTACATGTGAAGCTATAGCATTACCTAGGAGGTGGAATGGACTAAATTCTGAGATGTTTAGATGGTTGTGGAAGCCTGTTGAAAATGAAAGACTAGCTGGTTGACTTACCCAGATGTCTGAACCTCATTGTGCTGTGCATTTCCACTATGGTTCATTTAAGATGCTGACCATGGTTCTCAGGGATTCTTGGCAGCGTCATAGCAATAATAGCAATTGTTATTGTATCACTACCTGTGGCACTCAAAACTGGATGAAGGAATGACCCAAAATACTGATCCAGTGTAGCATCGAGGAATAACACAGGATACATTTCCCCTCTCCCCCCACCTTGCTTCATGTAGTCAGGACAGTGTATTGCTGCACCAAGGTGGTGCTCTCATCTCTGTATGTTTAATATAAAAATTGGCAGGAGGAAAATACACTCACACAAGCACACAGAGTTTGTCCCATCTGCAGCAGTAGCTTGTCAACAGTCAGTGATTTAAGTAAGCATCATCCCTGTGTCCTAATTAAATATACTTTTCTAAAATATTCATAGTTTAATTAGGGCTTAAAATCAAAGCAAAGACGTTTTAAGTATTCAAAGAGAAGAGCAGGCTCATCTTCAAGAGATGTCATTTTAAAGATATGGGGCCATACATTTGTAGAAATACAGGTAAAAATTTTATGAAGTTTTTCAAAAGTAATATCCAGCCTAAAAATTCATCAAGAGTTTTTCTCTTTATAAAACTGTGTATGCCCCTTATCAGTAGAGGGTTCAGTTTTGAAATAAATTCTTTATATTAACTTACAAACTGACCAAAACTATCCAACCAGAATTTTCACTTTAAATATTGCTAAATGTCATTTTTCTTGGTAGAATCTTTCATTTTGTAATCTGGTTCTGTTACTTATTTTGTAGTCCTTATTGTGGGTTCATTAACTGGATGACATTTAAGATTGCTGTTCCAATCTGGAGGGCTAGGGTGGCAGAGCTGGGTGGAAAGTAGCTCTCTTGCAGCTCAAACATGGCCCACAGAGGGGGACAGCTGCTGCACCTTAGGCCTCAGGTACAGGAAAATGGATTTTCAATCTGGTGGGGCTCCATGTGGCTGGTGTCTGCCTGTGATGAGGGCAATGGCGAATCCCATATTTTGGGAAAACTATGCACTCATTTCTAAATTTGTGGCTGTACTGAAACCAGCTTTTGGTCCTTCTAATATTTTCCTGGTAACATTTACCCCTCTGGCTTTGGTACTTTCTCAATAGGAAGACTAGGAGCCACTGTGGTTAGAAGACATTGATTTTCTTTCATCTCCTAACACCATGTTGGGCCCTAAGACCCCCGGAGAGTCCAGCAGAGGAGGCGACGACCCCAAGTCAAACGCAGAGACCGAGGCTTGATGCAAGAGCAAGAGGATTTTTATTACAAGCGCAGCGCAGGGGCTCTCAGGCAGGCAGGCAACAACACAAAGGAAGTGCTGCTGACTGGAGCCCCGAGCAATTGCAGAACACGGGTTTATAAAGGCAAAAACCACACGCAGGTGGCCGGAAAACAGGGAACTGGGTTACCAGTTAACTCATAACTCATCTTTTACAGGGACAGGTCTTTGTTATTAGTTGACTCATTTCCTAAGGGGCCAGGGTGGTCTGGTATGCGCAGGCCGATCCCGAGGAGTGATAAGATAACTATGCTATGACCAGATCAGGGCGCCAGAGCTTTACGGGAAAGGTCAGGAGGGGGAAGTTCTCTTTAATCTTTACATTAACCAGAGCTTACTGGAAAAGCTGGTCCAGGGGGAAGGGGGGAGTTTTTCAGCGGCCTTACATTCCCCCCTTTTCTTGTGGGAAGTTCCAATCATGGAACTACAGGCTAATGTTTGAGGGTACAGGCTGATACCGCTGTTGGAGGACCATTACCTGAACTGCACTAATCCGGTCCTGGATGAAGGCGATTAAGCGGTTTACTATGCATGGCCCGAATGTCAAAAGGAGGAGTAAAATGATCAGGGGTCCCACGAGAGAGGATATCAGGGTTGTGAACCACGGTGAGCTGTTAAACCAACTTTCAAACCAGCCTTGCTTGGCCTCTCGCTCTCTTTTGCGAGTTTCTAATCTCTCCCTAAGTTTTGACATGGAATCCTTTATCACCCCTGAATGATCAGCGTAGAAACAGCATTGTTCCCTGAGAGCTGCACACAGCCCTCCCTCCTTTAAGAATAGGAGATCTAGTCCTCTCCTATTTTGTAGGACTACTTCAGACAAAGAGGTTAGAGACTCCTCAAGTTTAGTTATGGAGTGCTCTATATGTTTGAGGTCTTCATCTATAGCAGCTCTGAGCTCCTCAGTATAGGTGGGGCCTTTAATGAGGGCTGTTGTCCCTGTTCCTACTCCTGCCGCGACCCCTAGACCTAGGAGAGCAGCCAAGGTCAGTGAAACAAGTTCCCGTTTATCCCGATGGGAAGGAGAATAGGAGTCAAATTCTTTTTCAAATGCATTAGCTTGATAATACATGATCCTGGGGACTAGTTGGACAAGGATACAATAATCTTGAGAACGGTTAAAGGCCTGGGCTGCTAAACATGGAGTAAGTCCCGTACTACAGGCCCACCATCCCCCTGTTGGGGGCACTAAGTAATAGCTTGCAGAGGAGGGATATGCCAGGTTCTCCTTGCAGAGATGCTGGCGGTCCTTTGGCACTTGTCCTATACATGTGCCTTGCCCTGAGACCTCAGTAAGGGTCAACTTCCCCTGCTGTCCCCACGAACAGTGGTCATGGCTGGTGGTGTTGGTATAGTTTCCCTGGAAGGCTATGCCCTCATAGTAGGGGGGCCCTGTAGTTAGGCAGAGCCAGCAAGACTCAGTTAGGTTAGACTTGGACATGTTTAAAGAACTAAAGGCCCCCTCTACCAAGCCTAATAGCCTCTGACCTGAGTTTGTCTCTAGTTCTATGGGGTTGGCCTGTTCCTCCCTGGAGGCTGGGCTAGTTCCTGCCACGGTGGTGGTGGCAAGAGGCCTTTCTTTCGTGGGGAGCTGCCGGCTGGACAAGACGGTGTTGGGTCCTACTGCAACTGGTGGCCTGTAATCCTGTACATCTAATCTTATCTTAAAAAGGAGGCCATCATCATGTTGGTCCTTATACAGCCGGATCCCCCATGTCACTCCCCAGCGCCACTTGTTTAGGTCGTATGACCGCCCAGCTGAGGTGAAGGAGATATTCAGGGCGTTAACCCAACCCCTATGTCCGGAGGTTTGGCTCTCATTTCTCCGAACCTGGATGAGGTCCCACTCGGGGGGCCCTCTGATCCAATATCCAGTACCAGTTGTCTCACATCCCCATTCTGCACAGAAATACTCTCGTTCAGATCCACAATTCTTTCTATGTCCCTGCCTGTCTTTGGGGCATACATAGAATTGGGTCATCGTAAGACGCTCACGGGCCCCCAGATAACTACAGTGAACTCCAAATTGCAAATCTCTTCCTTTTCCTATGTAAGCTCGGGTCTCTATACCTGCTTTAGTCTCTTCTACTGTTCTCTCAGGGAGGTCCCATAGTCTGTATCCTGCTGCCATAGCGCAGAGGTCTGGCGTTAAGTCTGGCCACCATGTCCCTTTAGGTGCTATATTGGTGACCGACCAGGCCGTCTGTCCGGTGTGGGGGGACATTACCCTCCAAGTTAGTCTCTTTGGGGCATGGGGGTTGCTACTTATCAGCGGCAGGCTCAGCAGGAAGAGGGCGGCGGCAAATCCGTAGCTTGAGAGGGTTGTCTGTCTTCTCCACAGTCCATCCATGATCGGTGTCGTCTGATGGGGGTGCCCGCTTGACGTGGGAGGCGTGGATCCAAGCAGCTACACCGTCTACCTTGACCGCTGTTGGGGTTGTCAGCAACACCAGGTGGGGTCCCTTCCACCTCGGCTCGAGATTAGCGGCCCGATGGCGTCTGATGTACACAAAGTCTCCGACCTGGAACTGGTGGGGGACTTGCAGTTCTCCTGGTTGGTAGAGGGCGGCCAGGGGAGTCCACACCTCCTTCTGGACAGTCTCGAGGGCCTTCAGCCTGGCAAGCAGGGATTGAGGGGTGTGAGTGTCTGTGGGCACGGACCAAGGGTCAGCGGCTAGGGGCGGAGAGGCCCCAAACAAAACCTCGAACGGTGTCACCCCCAAGGGGCCTGGGGTGTTTCGCGCGCGGAAAAGGGCAAAGGGAAGGAGGACCGTCCAGTCTGCCACGCCAGTCTCTAAGGACAATTTAGTCATAGCCTCTTTTAATGTTCTATTCATTCTTTCTACCTGACCTGAACTCTGGGGCCTGTAAGCACAATGCAATTTCCAATCCGCCCCTAGTATCTTGGCCATTCCCTGACTTACCTGGGCAACAAAAGCTGGACCGTTGTCTGATCCAATTACCTTAGGAATTCCAAACCGTGGAAAGATGTCTTCTAAGATCTTCTTGGCGACCACAGTTGCAGTTTCTCTTTTGGTAGGGAAGGCTTCTACCCAACCTGAGAAGGTATCTATGAAAACTAAAAGATATTTATAACCGTATCGGGCGGGCTTTACTTCTGTAAAATCCACCTCCCAGTAACTCCCGGGCCGGTCTCCCCTGAGTCTGTGTCCGGTCCCGACCTGGGATGAATGTACATTTACCAGCTGACACGCCTTGCATTGCTTAACTACTTCTTCTGAAAGGCGATCGAGTCCTTTGACATAGTGTCCCGTTGCCCGGCTGGTGGAGCTGAGGTGTTTGGCCCCCAGGTGGGTAAGGCGATGCAGTTGTTGGAGGTAGGCAGTGGCTGCCGCCCTTGGTACTACCATTTTTTCCCCTGCAGTTCTCCACACTCCTAGTTTGTCCTTATGGTATTTTTCTGGCCTTTTAAGCAGGTCTTTTTCCTCCTCTAGGGTGTAGTGGAGGGTCTCTGGCTGTGGTGCTGCGGGGCCAACAGCGAGGGCGAGTAGCCGGGGCCCTAGAGCGGCCTGCCTTGCCTCGGCATCCGCTTTCCTGTTTCCTATAGCTGTTTCCGAGGTCCCTTTCTGGTGGCCGGGACAATGGATGATAGCTACCTCCTGGGGGGCATGAATGGCTTCTAGGAGGTCGAGGATTTCCTTTTTATTTTTAATTTCCCTTCCTGCTGAGGTGAGGAGACCTCTCTGACGGTATATAGCCCCGTGCACATGAGCAGTGGCAAAAGCATAACGACTGTCAGTATAAATATTAGCCCGGCTGTTCTCTGCCAGCCTGAGAGCCTGTGTCAGAGCAATTAATTCAGCCTTCTGGGCCGAAGTCCCTTCGGGCAAGCTACTAGCCCAGATAGTCCGGTCCTTGCTGACCACAGCCGCTCCCGCCACCCTCTTACCTTCATAGAGGTAGCTGCTTCCATCCGTGTACCAGGTGAGTTGAGGCTCTGGCAAGGGGGAATCTTTGAGGTCTCTCCTCGGCCCTGTTTCCTCTGCCAGAATGTCACGGCATGAGTGTAGGACTTCTTTGCTCTCAGGATTTACTTCCGGTAGTAAGGTTGCTGGGTTGAGAGCTACCGGAGCCCCGAAGCGGATTCGATCTTCACTTAGCAGGAGACTCTGGTAGTGAGTCATCCGGGCGTTGGATAGCCACCGGTCCGGTGGCTGCCGGATAACACTCTCGAGAGTGTGTGGGGCCACCACAGTTAGTTTCTGCCCCAAGGTAAGTTTGTCCGCATCTCTTACAAGCAGGGCAGTAGCTGCAATTGCTCTTAGACAGCCTGGCCACCCCCTAGCCACTGGGTCTAGTCTCTTGGATAAATAGGCTACCGGCCTCTTCCAGGGGCCTAAGGTTTGAGTTAGGACCCCCCTGGCTACTCCCTTTCTTTCATCTATGAACAGAGTGAAGGGCTTGGCCACATCTGGTAAGGCCAATGCCGGCGCCGAGAGAAGAGCCTTTTTAATGTCGTCAAAGGCTTTCTGATGAGTCTCCCCCCACTCGAAGGGGTTCCCTTGTTTTGTCAGCGGGTATAGGGGCTCCGCTAGGGTTGCAAAACCTGGAATCCAGAGGCGGCAGAATCCAGCTGTTCCCAGGAACTCGCGTACCTGCCGGGGGGTCTGCGGTCTGGGAATCTGGGTGACTGTGCTTTTTCGGGCTTCAGTGAGCCACCTCTTTCCCCCTTCTAGTGCGTATCCTAAATAGGTCACTCTCCGCTGACATATCTGGGCCTTCTTGGCCGAGACCCGGTATCCTAGGCGGGAGAGCTCTAAAAGCAAGGCCCCGGTACCTGTTTCACAGTCCTCCTTAGTAGCTCCGGCGAGGAGAAGGTCATCCACGTACTGGAGAAGGGTGACTTGCGGGTGGTCAGCACGGAAAGCAGCCAGGTCTTGATGAAGAGCCTCATCGAAGATAGTGGGGGAATTTTTGAATCCTTGCGGAAGTCGGGTCCAAGTCAGCTGCCCCGTTATTCCCGAATCTGGGTCTCTCCACTCGAAGGCGAAAATATTCTGGCTGGCAGGATGCAGTCCTCTTGTTGACTTCTCTTAAATCCTGCACCGGTCGGTAGTCATCAGTTCCGGGCTTTTTTACCGGGAGGAGTGGGGTGTTCCACGGGGAGTGGCACTTAACGAGGACTCCAAGGCGTAGGAGGCGTTGGACATGAACCTTGATCCCCCTCCAGGCTTCTTTTGCCATGGGGTACTGTCGTACTGCAATCGGGGTTGCAGTGGACTTAAGCTCTACTATCACAGGGGGCCGTTCGGTAGCTAAGCCCATCCCCGCGGTTTCAGCCCAAGCTTTGGGGTATTGCTGTAACCATCCCGCTATCCTCTCGTCCTTTCGGACATTACTCTCAAACAGCCGATGCTCGTCTTCGAGCTGGAGTGTCAAGAGAGTAATTGGCTCTCCATGTTGGGTCAGGGTCGGCCCCCGTGGGGTGAAAGTGATCTGAGCCCCCATTTTAGTTAGCAAGTCTCTTCCCAGAAGGGGGGCTGGACACTCGGGTATTACTAAGAAGGAATGAGTCACTCTTCCCGTGCCTAGATCAACTGTCCGGGTGGTGGTCCAGGAATATTGCTCATTTCCCGTTGCCCCTATCACCCAGGAGGTCTTCTGGGAGACTGGTCCTAGTGGTTTCTTAAGAACTGAATATTGGGCCCCTGTGTCTACCAGAAAGTTAACAGGCTTCCCCTCCACCTTAAGAGTTACCCTAGGCTCGGGGAGGGGATCCGAGCCCCGACTTCTTCAATCACTATCTTCCTGGAGTGCCAGCGCCTTCTTTGCTAGTCTCTTTGGGCACTCCCGCTTCCAATGTCCTTCTTCCTTGCAATAAGCACATTGATTCTTCCTTAACGGTGGCCTGTTGCCCAGGGCCCCTGCCTGTCTTCCTTTTCCTCTCTCCTGTGGCTTACTCCCTTCTATTGCTGCGGCCAAGATATGGGTTAGTCTCTGCTCTTCCCTTTTTTCCTTTTTCTCCTCCTTCTCCTCCCTCTCTCTCTCCTTCCGCTGCTCCTTTTCCTCCTCGGTCTCCCTCTTATGGTACACTTTCTCTGCTTCCTTAACTAAATCTTGGAGGGTAAAGTCCTGCAATCCCTCAAGTCTCTGCAGCTTTTTCTTAATATCTAATGCTGACTGCCCTATGAAAGCCATAGCTACTGAGGCCCTCTGCCCCTCCGAGGTGGGGTCAAACGGGGTGTACCGTCTGAACGCCTCCATTAATCGCTCGAGAAAAACAGAAGGCGGTTCAGTGGGCCCCTGTATGACCTCTCTTACCTTAGCCAAATTCGTGGGGCGCCGAGCTGCCCCTCTGAGGCCGGCCACTAGTGTCTGGCGGTAGACCTTCAGGTGCTCCCTACCTTCTGCCGTGTTGAAGTCCCAGTCCGGCCTGGCCAGAGGAAAGGCCGCATCCACCAAATGAGGGAGTAGAGTCGGCCGGCCGTCGGGGCCAGGGGCGTTCTTCCGGGCCTCCAAGAGGATCCGCTCCCTTTCCTCTGTAGTAAAGAGAGTCTGAAGAAGCTGTTGACAATCGTCCCAAGTGGGCTGGTGAGAGAACATAAGGGACTCAACCAGCCCCGTTAGACGCTGGGGATCCTCTGAAAAGGGAGGGTGGTTAGTTTTCCAGTTATAGAGGTCTGCCGAGGAGAAGGGCCAGTATTGGAGTGGCTGGAGCGGAGCCGTTTCATTATCGTCTCCGCGGGGGGGTGGAGGCCCGTATGGTCGGAGAGGGCAGGCTACGGTCGAATCTGGAGACGCGGGATGTCTCCTCTGACTCCGGGTTCCCTGGGCCGGTCCCTCTGTTGGAGGGGCGGGAGGAGGTGCTGAAGGCTCCGGTCTCTCCGGCGGCTCTGGCTGGAGAGGAGAGGGGTAAGGGGGTGGAGAGTCCAAGAGGAGAAGATCGGTTTGAGAATCTGCCAGGGGACGTTTCGTCTGATCTGCGGCGGGAGGGGCCTGGGCCACGAGAACCCGGGAGGTTCCGGATGGCAGCCAGGGTTTCAGCCAAGAGGGAGGGTTCTGGACCAGGTCCTGCCAGACGACAATATACGGCTGCTGGTCTGGATGGCCCGCCGGGCCTGATTGGAACACCTTATTCTTTACTGCAAAAATAATAGACAGGTCAAAAGTCCCGTCCGCTGGCCATCCCACGCCTAGGGCTGGCCAGTCGGATGAACAGAAAGTCTGCCAAGGACCCTTCTTAACACTGACGGAAAGATTGAGTCCCCGACTCCGGACGTCCGTCCAGTGTGCTACTGTAAGAGAAAGAGGGGTGCTGCTTCCGTGGCCCATGTTACCTGGATGGGAGAAGAGGAGTAAAAGACAAAAACAAAGAACAAACAATGACGCGACAAGACACCGGATCCACAAGAATTTACCCAGATACAGAACGGCCGCTGAGGGATGATATCCCTCCCTAATGCTAGTCCGGCCGGACACGCGAGTGCCCGTTGCCGGACAGCCAGAACCTGAAGTGACCAAGACCTCTTGGTCACCGCCCGATCCTGGGGCGTCCCCCAGGGTGACAGTTTTTCTGGCCGAAGCCCCTACGACCAGAGGAGCCGACTCCTTACGGAGCCGACACCCTGTCTTCCTGAAAAACCGAAACTAAGAACGAACAAAGGACAAGACAAACACTGAATGACTCCGGAGTCTGCTTACCTCCAAGACCGATCCCAGCGCTTGAAGGGGGTCGCCTAATCCCGGACGAGCCCCCAAATGTTGGGCCCTAAGACCCCCGGAGAGTCCAGCAGAGGAGGCGACGACCCCAAGTCAAACGCAGAGACCGAGGCTTGATGCAAGAGCAAGAGGATTTTTATTACAAGCGCAGCGCAGGGGCTCTCAGGCAGGCAGGCAACAACACAAAGGAAGTGCTGCTGACTGGAGCCCCGAGCAATTGCAGAACACGGGTTTATAAAGGCAAAAACCACACGCAGGTGGCCGGAAAACAGGGAACTGGGTTACCAGTTAACTCATAACTCATCTTTTACAGGGACAGGTCTTTGTTATTAGTTGACTCATTTCCTAAGGGGCCAGGGTGGTCTGGTATGCGCAGGCCGATCCCGAGGAGTGATAAGATAACTATGCTATGACCAGATCAGGGCGCCAGAGCTTTACGGGAAAGGTCAGGAGGGGGAAGTTCTCTTTAATCTTTACATTAACCAGAGCTTACTGGAAAAGCTGGTCCAGGGGGAAGGGGGGGGTTTTTCAGCGGCCTTACACTAACACCATCAGCTGTCTCTGCCTCTTCCAGAGTTAGGGCCGGGATTTGGCACACTCTCCACTGCACCTCCTTAGCGAGAGTAACTGTGGTTAAAGCATCTAGATCCAACCTAACCAGATCCATAAGGTTTTGACTCCTCACACCTTTTCTGGACTCTATCACAGCACAGTGCTAATAGGGTATGCAACTGGCTTCTACAGCGGCTTCCCAGAGTGGCTGGAGAACAACATGTAGGCATAGTGTTATTACCCCATGGGACAAACTTCATTGGAGGGAAAAAAGGAGTGGGATTTATCATCTGCTTCTTTTGTCTACCTCGTTTCTATTCATAGACTCATCTTGAGGCAAAGTGATTTGTTCCACATGGTTTGTCTAAAATATTTACCATGGGACTCAGCAATGAGCTCTACTTTATTATTTTATTATGAAATTGTTGTCAGCTTGGTAGCTACCTCCCTTCCCCTTTCCATGCTTTCCTTCTCGCCTCATATCACTGTTGCGGCACTCGGATTACACCTCCATCTCATGAGAGTTTGAACCAATTCCATTCTCTCAGAGTGAGAAACGTGTCTCAAGCCGGGTAATTCTGCTTCAAAGTGCTGGATAGTAAAAATAAGAGGAATCTGTGAATGCCTGGCCACCAAGTCACTGCTTAAAACTCTGAAAAGTTCCACTTTTACAGCTTTTATAAAAAGCACTGAAAGTCTTAACTTCTTTGGCCCTCTGCTCTTCTGCCGTGGATGTTTCTGTTTTTCTTGAGATTCCTTAAGAACACCTGATTAAGGTTTGAAAAGATCAGCATCTAGTCTGTTTTTCCATCTGATGCAGTGGGTTATATCTGACCACCCAGCCAGATTCTGCAAACTGTCCTCTTAGGATGTGGACATGAACCCAGGAGAGCACGAGGGCAAGCTGTACAGCAGTGAATCTGCTAGGGGCAGCAGGGCTGGAGGACGATGCTGAGGATCACTCCCATTTATTCTACAAGTCTCGTCAATGTTTATATGACTAATACAATCCACTAGTGTTTCGTGTTCTGCCTGTCTACCCTGATTCTGCTAACTTCTCATTGTTGAGGCTTTGCTCCAGATAACAGGAATCTCCTCCATGAAATAGTCTAATTGAATGAGAACTTAAGCTTTCTTGAGCTTTATATTTACTCCCTGTCAGTTTTTCAGAATTATGGAATTTCTTTACACAGGGAGAAGGTTCTAGAATGGAATCAGGGAAAGGAAAAGAAAACAATGAGAGGTAGAGGGAAGATGGGTATAACAGATGTCAGCTTGATAAGATCTACAACTTTTCTGTCTGGTCATCAATACAATTTACATTCACTTATTTAAGAGAAAGATTTGTTATGTTGGGACGCAGGCAGAAAGGGTTAGGCATGATGTAGGACTGGGGATGCCACTCAAATCAGCCATGTACAGCTAATATTTCAGTGGGATTGATTAATCCAGCTTATTTATATAATGTAACTTATTCCTACAGGCCAAGGCTGTGGGAATGGGACTGTGTTTATGGGACTAGGTAGTAAGATGTATGTACCATCCACAGCCCCCTACAGGAATAACAGATTTACTACCATAGCTGCTGGGAGTGTTGTGGAAAGATGGTGGGTCCTCAGCAATTGGCCCCACATTGACCCACATTCCTGAAAGTCATCCTCTCCAGAGTGGCCTGTATTCAGTCTATCCTTGATGTGGGGGAATAAAGACTTGGACTTCTTGCTCCAGTTCAGGAAAGCTTTGAAATATCATCCCAGGTTTAGAAAGCCTCATAGTTTCAACGGGTTTTGTGGTGATGGCATTGCCTCTGCCAATCCTGTTCCTTCATTCCGTAGGCGTTGATCCCTAGAGCTTTCTGATAGGCCTGCTACATGCTAATATTTTTTGCAGGTTAGAGTCCCTGGGAAGCACACTATAAAGTGATATTAACTTAGGAGTCCAGTGTAGGGAGCTGAGAGCCTAGTTGCCTTTAGGATTGTGATGTTTCACAAGTTACAAGCCTCTTCAGAGTCAGGGTGCCAATCCCAGGGAAATCGTGCGAGTACAGAACAGCTCTCCTTCCACTTTTCTAGTTCCCCTTTGATTAGTTAAGGGAAACAGAGAGGCCTCATTTCTTTGGAGTGGAACTGACACATTTCTGAAGTCAATCTCATTCACTTTCAAACATTTCTCATTTAAAACTTTCCTCTTTCAACTTTCAAAGCTAACTTATATCTATCTCTGTGGCCCCACGTATGCTAGACCCTAGGATTCAATCAACACTGAAGCAGGAAGAAAATCTGGACTATTATTTGTAATACTGACCGACTGAGATCCTTTGAGCCCCAAGCCAGCCTTTACTGGATGAAGTTAAATGGTGGCACAAATACACAGTGATAACGATGGCTCTCTTAGCTTGAGCG